TTGAATTCTCAAGGTCCTTCTGGCTCAGTGGTCTATCTTGCCCCCAAAACCCTAAACACTAAACCCTAAACCCTAAACCCTAAACCCTAAACCCTAAACCCTAAACCCTAAACCCTAAACCCTAAACCCTAAACCCTAAACCCTAAACCTTCGCGGGTGTAGGGTTTAGGGTTTAGGGTATATGGCTTGTGCCTTAGGGCGCAGGGCCTCGGGCTTAGGGTTTAGGATTCAGGGTTTTGGGCCTAGGGTTTTGCATTGATATATAGTGTTTAGGGTTTAGGGTTTAGGCTGTAGGGATTCAGGGTTTTGGATTGATGTATGGGGTGTAGGGTTTGGGGCTGAGGATCCTATATTGAGAAACTGGAGGGGGGAAGTTCCAGTCTACACAAGACCATTTTGGGAACATGTACGCGTCGGTCAGCGTTGTATCTTCAAGGCAGAACTGTGTCAGGGGGATGTGGCGTTCTGAGGGGAGAACTTCAGGTGTACTGCCGTAGAAACCCTAAACCCTAAACCCTAAGCCCTAAACCCTAAACCCTGAACCCTAAACCCTAAACCCTAAACCCTAATCCCCTAAACCCTAAACCCTAAACCCTAAACCCCCCGAACCATAGACGCTGAACCTGTGGAGAGCTTGCTGTTCCTGGCAATCTTTGCCAGCACCCTACGTAAGCCTCTTCTAACGCCTAAACCCTGACCCCAACAAGGGTTTAGGGCTTAGGGCTTCAGGGGGTTGGGTTCGGGCTTAGGGCTTTGGGGGGCTTGTTCAGGGGCTTGGGTTAGGGCTCAGGGCTTTGGGGGCTGGGGGGAGGGAATGCAGCGGTTGGGAGCTTAGGGGTGTGCTTGAGAGTTTTGGGGGCGTGTTTGGGATGCAAGCGCGGCCACAGGCGCTGCTACAGCATCGCGAGCAGTCGCTGAAGCAAGAGACTGAGAAGTGATGTCATCGGTGGTGGGTTTAAGGGTTTAGGGTTTAGGGTTTAGGGTTTAGGGTTTAGGGTTTAAGGTTTAGGGTTTAGGGTTTAGGGTTTAGGGTTTAGGGTTTAGGGTTTAGGGTCCCAAACCCCCAAATCCCTAGACCCCCAGGCCCTTTAGGGCTCGGGGAGTAACGTCCGGAGCCCTAGCACGTCGGCACCTAAACAGAGTGGAGTTCCGGGGTTCAGCCTCAACCCTGGAATCCGAATCACCCGAAAACCCTAACCCTTCAACCCCCGAAACCCCTACAACCCTAAACCCTAAGCCTCCCAAACCCTATAGTACCCGAAAACACCCAAACCCCTACAACCCTAAACCCTAAGCCCCGTAAAACCCTATAGTACCCTAAGCCCTAAAACCTAAACCCTAAGGCCTAAAACCCTAAACCCTAAAACCCTAAACCCTATACCCTAAACCCTAAACCCCAAACCCTAAACCCTAAACCCTTCGTTCTGAGACTCAATGCTCTAGTTTTCAAGCCCCAAGTGCAGGGTGTAGGCTTTCAATTGTAGGGTCCAGGGCAGCCCCGACGACATGCGCATGTATATTAGTGTCTAGGGTTTAGGGTTTAGGTCTAGGGTTCAGGGTTTAGGGTTTAGGTTCCCTAGCTGAAAGCCCTGAACCCTAAAAGGACCTCTGCCAGCCTAATAACCCTAAACCCTACACCTAAAAGGCCCTAAGCCCCTAAACCCTCAAGACCCAAACCTTAAATCCTTAAGCCTTAAGCCCAGATCCCAAACCCTAAGCCCTCAAGGGATGAGAGTACTCCCTACTTATGATCCCTATGAAGGACTTCCAGTGCTGGGGCCAACTGCGAGCCTGTTCCAATTCGTAAATTTTCCACTGAGTGCTGAGGATTACTTCCGCGAATTGGCACGCCGCAAAACACAGTCGTTAGCTCACACATCCTATGGCCCACACTTTATCCCAGCTCTCCGCAACAACGACATCAGGGTGGACGACAACCCAACTTTGCGGGATGCCGTCACGACACTGTCGGGCGCCCTCGACGAAGTCGAGTCGGGATCGTTAAAAGAAGCCGCCAGTCTAGCCCATCACGGGCGCAGAGGCGTAGCCCTCGCAGCCATGGCACGCCTACTCAACTCTGTGGTGATGCGCGAGGTACCACTGCAAAATTCTCCATCAAGGCGTCAGTTGCACGAAGGGCCACGACTCCGGCAGCAGCTTCGGCTGTTCCTCACGCCTGATCATGTGACCCGCAGGGTCACTACCTTTGAGATTCTTCGGCCTGTCTTTGACTAGACCAGAAACCATGAAGCTCAAGCCTACGAGCTGACTTCCAGTATAGGGGGGAACATCCCCCAACCCTGAACCGTAAACCCTAAACCCTAAACCCTAAACCCTAAACCCTAAACCCTAAACCCTAAACCCTAAACCCTACACCCTAAACCCTAAACCCTACCTAGGTTGCAGCGCGAGCTGGCCCTCCTCAAGGGCGAGCCGGCGCCCGCGGCGCCCGCAGCGCCCGCGGCGCCCGCGGTGCCCGCGGAGCAGAGTGCCATGGCTGGTGACGGAGGATTTAAGGGCTTAGGGTTCGGGTTTCGGATTTAGGGTTTAGGGTTTAGGTAGGGTTTAGAGGGTTTAGAGGGTTTAGAGGGTTTAGAGGGTTTAGGGGGTTTAGAGGGTTTAGAGGGTTTAGAGGGTTTAGAGGGTTTAGAGGGTTTAGAGGGTTTAGAGGGTTTAGAGGGTTTAGAGGGTTTAGAGGGTTTAGAGGGTTTAGAGGGTTTAGAGGTTTTAGAGGGTTTAGAGGGTTTAGAGGGTTTAGAGGGTTTAGAGGGTTTAGAGGGTTTAGAGGGTTTAGAGGGTTTAGAGGGTTTAGAGGGTTTAGAGGGTTTAGAGGGTTTAGAGGGTTTGTAGGTTTTCTATAGGGCTTTCAATAGGGTTTTGTTGGGCTTGTAGGGTTTTTGTTTTTTGGTTGGGTGTATAGGGTTTTTAGGATTTATGGGTTTTATAGGGTTTAGGGGGTTTACAGGGTTTACAAGGTTTATAGGCTTTGCAGGGTTTACAGGGTGTAGGCTTTGGGGTTCATATAGGGTCTATTTGGTGTTTGGGGTTTAGGGTTTCGGGATTTAGGGATTCAGGGGCAGGGATCTTTCTGCTCAAACAGGCTCTTGGGGCTAGGACTTGGGGTTGAGGATTTGAGGCGAGGCTGCCAAGGTTCAAGGGTTGGGGGGCAGAATGTTGTCGTTGGATGACACTATGATTTCAAGCGCCCTAACTCCTAAATCCTGAACCCAAAAGCCTAAACCCTAAACCCTAAACCCTACAGCGGGTAGAGTGCTTGGGGCTTGGGTTCTTAGCATCTTTCGGATGGAGGATGCTGAGTGTTCAAGGGGGATTGGTGTATTCAGGGCCCAGGAGAGCGAATGTTCAAAGTGAAGGCACCCAGGACTATTCAGCAAGGTTCGTGGTTGGAGGTTTAGGGTTTAGGGTTCAGGGTTTAGTGTTTAGGGTTTAGGGTTAACGGTTTTGGGTTTGGGGAGTGAACAGCGTTTAGGGTTCATGTGCTAGGAATAAGAGGGATGAAGCCATACGTCGTCAGGTGCACCGGCTACGGAGGCAGGGACTTGGCTCTCTAAGAAAGGGTTAGGGTTTAGGGTTTAGGGTTAGGGTTTAGGGTTTAGGGTTTAGGGTTTAGGGTTTAGGGTTTAGGGTTTAGGGTTTAGGGTTTAGGGTTTAGGGTGTAGGGTTTAGGGTGTAGGGTTTAGGGTGTAGGGTTTAGGGTTTAGGGTTTAGGGTTTAGGGTTTAGGGTCTAGGCGGGTTTCGGGCTTCAGGGCTTTGGGTTTGGGGGTTCGGGATTTAAGGGCCTTCGGGTTCACGGTTCAGGCTTCTGGGGTTTAACACGTAGGCCCCAAAAATCGGGTATCCTGGGGTAGTCTTGGAGGTCCTACACCAAGGGGCTTAATTATACGTAGGCCTTCTGCGTTGTCGTTTTGAATCTTTGTCTGAGTCATCGGGCGCGGGAGACCTTTACCGGTTTTTACCAACCCTAGTTAGAATTCCCCTAACCGAAACATCAAGCTTCCTTCTACAAGCCCTTAAGATTCTTAACCCCCGAGCCCTCAGAGGCTTGAAAGCCCTAAGACCCCTTGGACCTGCAGAACCTTAGAAACCCTAGAAACCTCTATAAACATCTATAATACCCATCTATAAACATAAATAATACCCTATTAAACCCTGTTAGAAACCCTAGAAACCTCTTAAACATCTGTAATCCCCATCTATAACATCAATATTACCCCATAAATCCTATTAGAAACCCTAGAAACATCTAGAAACATCTAGAAACATCTAGAATGCCCTAAAAGCCCTGAAGCCGAAAACTGAATCCCAACTCCTCCCTTCGCCTTCTCCGCTTTCAGGGTTTGGGACTTACCGAGGATCCCGAACCTGGCAACAACTCCTCCTGAAACGCGCTTTCGGAAACCACCCAAACGGTCAACCCGCAAAAACCCGAGCAAACCCCAAGCCCAAGAGCCCCCCCAAACAACCCCGAAGCCCGAAGACGCTACATCCTAAAGCCCTAGCAGCGTAAGCCCTAAGAGGCCTAAAAACCCTAAGCCCTAGAAACCCCGCCTTTCTCAAAGCCCACCATGGCTCCTGAATCTCCACGCAACGCTGGCTCCGGGTTCAGAGTTTACCAGGAACCCCCTAAACCCCCATGAACCCCTAAACCCCCGAGCCCCCTCTGCTTGGAGTACAGGGCTTACAGGGTTGATTGGGTTTATGGAGCTACAAATGCAAAAGGGCTTATGGGCTGAACTCTATAAGGCTTCCGCAGCCTCTCGATGCCATCGAAGCTGCTTCTTGCAGCCTCCACCCTGCAGTCGCAATGGCACGAAACAAATCCTTAGCCGATGCATGCCCGCTGGAAAACCCTCCAGGCCCTGGAAGCTAAACCCTAAACCCTAAGCCCTAAGCCCTAAACCCTAAAAACCCTAAACCCTAAACCCTAAACCCTAAACCCTAAACCCTAAACCCTACACATATATCGTTGGAGAGAGCCATGGACCGCATGTTCGTCGACGACTTCTTCGGCGGCCACTGGATAGACTCCACCAGCAAGCGCCGTGAGGCACCCGAAGCCCTAAACCCTAAACCCTAAACCCTAATCCCTAAACCCTATAATAAACCCTAAACCCTAAACCCTAAACCCTAAACCCTAAACCCTAAACCAGCATAGAGGGGGGGAAGAAGGAAGCTTAGGGCCATAAGATCACTGGCCAGGCCGGAAGCCAGCGCCTGGCGGATCCACGGCTCATGGAGGAGCCCCCAATACCTGATTTTGGAGGGGGGGGGGAGGGGTTAGGGTTTAGGGTTTAGGGTTTAGGGTTTAGGGTTTAGGGTTTAGGGTTTAGGGTTTAGGGTTTAGGGTTTAGGGTTTAGGGTTTAGGGTTTAGAGTTTAGGGTTTAGGGTTTAGGGTTTAGGGTTTAGGGTTTAGTCGGCTTTGAGTTACTTTGGGGGGCCTCTCATGCTCGGGGCTGTGACGTTAACGAAGACCTGAACCCTCAAACATCCCCTGAGAAGAACCTGAACCCAGAAACAAATCGAAAGCCACCAGACTAGGGTTGAGTCCCTACACCCTAAATCCTAAACCCTAAACGCTAAGCCCTAAACCCTAAGCCCTAAACCCTAAACCCTAAACCCTAGGCCCCAGCCTCCCCACGCCGCACGCCCTTGTCACCCGAAATCGCGAGACCCCCTTCAAGCGTGCTTGCCAGGTGCACGTGGCCCTCCTTTCTGGGCAGGCCTTGTCGGAGGAGGGCTTTGGGAGGTTGAAGGCTCAGTAGGTTCTTCGGCATGGCGCTTTAGGGTTGTTGTTCAAGGTTTAGGGTTTAATTCGGGTTTAGGGTTTAGGGTTTAGGGTTTAGGGTTTAGGGTTTAGGGTTTAGGGTTTAGGGTTTAAGGTTTAGGGTTTAGGGTTTAGGGTTTACGTTCCTCTGCAGGGCGGGGACGGATAGGGTTTAGGGTTTAGGGTTTTAGGTATAGCGCCCAGGGTTTAGGGTTTATAGGTTTGGGGTGTGAAAGGTTAGAGTTCAGGGTTTACGGTTCCGGGTTTGGGTCGAAGAGTCAAGAGCATAAACCCTGAACCCTGAACCCTAAACCCGAAACCCTAAACCCTAAACCCGAAACCCTAAACCCTTTGTTGTGGGGTTCGGTGTGATTTGGAGCTTGAGATGTAAAGAGGGTGGAAAGTTTAGGATGTAGGCTTTTGGGGTTTAGAGTTTAGGCTTTGGGGTTTAGGGTTTAGGCTTCAGGGTTTAGGGCAGTTCTGGGGGTCAAGGTTTAAGTTACGTTTGCGTGCTGAACGAGGGCGTACGGTTTGGGGGCGATCTAGTCGAGTCTCCAATGGGATGAAGGCTTGAGGTTTACGGGCTAAAAGGTTTAGGGGTTTAGGGTGTAGGGTTTAGGGTGTAGGGTTTGTGTTGATACTGTATTGATGATAAGTCAGTCAGGTAGACGACCCAACCTGCGAATAAGAACAATGTACCATCGCGAGTCCGTCGCCATCTGGGTCCTCCCAGACGACACCGTGAACAAGCTGCGCCTGCAGGCAGCCTCGTTTGCACCCGAAGAACCCAGCAACTAAGCTCTAACCCCTAAGCCCTAACCCTAAACCCTGAAACCCTAAACCCTAAACCCTAAACCCTAAACCCTAAACCCTAAACCCTAAACCCTAAACCCTGAACCCTGAACCCTAAACCCTAAACCCTAAACCCTAAACCCTAAACCCTGACCCTAAACCCTACAAGCCCTGCGCCCACCTTGGTTCCTTGTTGCTTGGGCCCCCACGTTCTGCGCGCACCCTCTGGCCTAAATCCTGAAAAACCCAAAGCCCGAAAGCCCTAGAACATCCCTACATTCAGAATCCCCTAAAAACCCTGAAGCCCGAAAAAGAAATGACCTAAAAGTCTAAAGCCTTAGACCCTGAAACCCCTAAACCCTAAATTCCCTGAACCGAAACCCCAAGCCCTAAACCCGAAAACCCCTAGACAATAGCATGTTTCAGGCCCTGAAATCCTAAATCCCAGAAGCCCACCCCAAACAAACCTTGAACCCCTAAATTTCTGAAACTCTAAATCCCGAAGCCCTAAACCGCTAGATCCTAAATCCCCAAGAGTTCATGGCACTCGGGTTTCGAGGGTTCAGACTTTGGGGTTTAGCGGGTTAGAGTTGAGGGTACCAGGGTTGGAGGGATTTCGGGTTGAGGTCTTTAGTGGTTGCATTTATGATTTATGAGTGAAGCAATGAGAAGAGCCTTGGAGCTGTCTTGGACATGTTGGGCTTTCCATCACCAAGTGTTTCAGGGTTCTTAAGGGGTATAAGGAGGAACCCCTAGAAGGCACCCTTAAAAGCAAAACTCGCAGATCTCTGCCAACGTCGTTGACCGCTCGCCTACATCAACAAGGAACCCTGAACCCTAAGCACTCCTGTCCTTCGGTTCTTCTGCAAACGCGCACCATAACCTGCAAATTGTCAGCGTGTGGATCTAGGGTTTAAGTTTCGGGTGTAGGGTCAGAGTTTAGGGTTTAGGGTTTGGGGTTTAGGGTTCAAGGTTTAGGGTTTAGGACTAGGGTTTAGGGTTTAATTAGGGTTTAGGGCTAGGGTTTAGGGTTTAGGGTTTAGGGTTCAGGCCCAGGCGGCGCTGGCAGTGGGCCTCGCCGGCCTGGTGACGCAGAGCGGCGAGCTGCTGACGCTGCGCAGAGACTTATAAGGGCTTCAGGGTTATCCCCGAAACGGGTTTAGGGGTTTAGGGTTTAGGGTTTAGGGTTTAGGGTTTAGGGTTTAGGGTTTAGGGTTTACGGTTTAGGGTTTAGGGTTTAGGGAATTCAGGGTGTTAAGGAGTGGCCAGTAGGGTTTTGGGATTTGCGGGCTTTCGAGTTTGAAGATTAGGCTTCATGGGTGTGAGGGTTTTCGGAATTTAGGGCTTTCGGTTGCTTTTTTCACCATCATATGGGGTTTGATGAAGAGAGTTAAGGGTTTTTATGGATTACGCCCCACAGCCCGACAAATCCTAAGCACTGCCCTAAATCTTCACCCGAAATCCCAAGCCCCATAAACCCTAACCTAACCCCTAGAGCAAGGAACCGCGCAAATCCGCAAACCCCCCAAAGCCCTAAACCCTAAACCCTATACCCTAAACCCTAAAGCCCCCAAAAGCCATCAGCCACTGCGAAGGAAGGGCCTCGCCACCCTCCAGGAGTGCCAACTCCAGCATGGAGACATGGCGCCTCACCGGCCGAACAGCGCGGGTTTAGGGTTTAGGGTTTAGGGTTTAGGGTTTAGGGTTTAGGGTTTAGGGTTTAGGGTTTAGGGTTTAGGGTTTAGGGTTTAGGGTTTAGGGTTTAGGGTTTGGGTTTAGGCTTTAGGGTTTAGGGTTTAGGGCTGAACCTTAAACCCTACGGCTGAGAGGTTCGGCATAAGCCCACTTAGGGCCCCTTCTAGCGTCATAAGGCCGCTTGAATCCCTGAGCTGTGTCCGAAACCTTAAACACACGCTAGGGGCTAGGGTTTAGGGTTTGGGGTTTAGGGTTAGGGCTCAGGGCTTAGGTTTGACAGGGCTTTTAGGGTTTTCGGGTTTTTGGAGTCTTTTGGTAGGGTTTCTTTTGGGCTTAGGCAGAAAATTCGGGGAAGTGGATACCCGGGGAGTAGGCATCCCTATCAAGGAAGTATTGTTTCCGAACTCCGTCATATTCCCGAAGTAGCTCTACTACAACCGGGAAGAAAGAAAGGACATTAGGGTTTGGGTGTGGGGTGTAGGCGGTAGGTTTTTAAAACCCCACACCCTGAACCCTAAACCCTAAACCCCAAACCCTAAACCCCAAACCCCAAACCCTAAACCCCAACGCTACCTACCCAACAAAGGTTCACGCCACCGTGCGCATGGCGACGCTGGCCTCCACGCGGCAGTCGATGGCCTTCGCCCTGCGCCTCGCCAGGGTTTTAGGTTGTAGGGTTTGCGGTTTGGGGTTTAGGGTTTCGGGTTTAGGGTTTATAGGGTCTAGGGTTTAGGGTTTAGTGTTTAGGGCTTCGGGTTTAGGGTTCAGGGTTTAGGGTTCAGCAGGGTTCTCCGTTTCGTAGACTAGCCCTCAACCACCCTAATGAAAGCCCATGGGGGCTTAGGGCGAGGTGTTGCAAGGTTTGGGGTCTAGGGTTTAGGGTCTATAGGGTTTGGGGTCTGTAGGGTTTAGGGTCCATAGGGTTCAGGGTGCAGGGTTTAGGGTCTACAGGAGGGTTTTCGGATTTAGGTTTAGGGTTTAGGGTTTAGGATTTAGGACCCAAAGCCCCCCAAGACCCACACGAGACCTGTGAGGATGCGCAGCGACGGCTCCGTTGTGACCTGGGGTCCCACGGACCGCGGCGGGGACAGCGGCGTGCTCGGAATGGAGCTGGGTAGACTCCTATAGACTATAGCAGGGAATGGGGGGAAGTTGGGGGTTCTTAGAGCCTCCTATATAGGGTTGAAAGAAGCACACCCAACGGGACAGGGTAGATTGGTATGATAAGTGTAGGCGCAGGAAGGTTTTGGGGCTTCTGGGACAGGGTAGATTGGTATGATTGGGGCTTCTGGGACAGGGTAGATTGGTATGATAAGTGTAGGCGCAGGAAGGTTTTGGGGGCTTCTTAGGGCTTTTTTCAAGCACACCATGGCTTCCTACAAGTATATAGGGGTTTGACGGGGGACACCCTCAAATGGTTCCACGGGAGCCCTAAGTTTGCAATCTCGTGGTCGTGGATCACCGGGACAGTAACCTGTAAACTCTCTAAAACCTGAAAACCCTAAGCCCTAAAACCCTGAAGCCTGAACCCTTGAAAATTCCTTCCTACGCCTGCTTGCCGGTGACGCGACCGGTCCGGTTCTCACCGGCAATCATTGCTATCCTGAGAGTTATAGCGTTTTAAACCTTAAACCCTTAACCGCCGAACCCCAAATCCCTAAACCCAAAACTCTATGCCAACGAAGGAAATCGTCCCTCCCACTGAGGCAGCGAGGTGCAGCACCAGCTCAGGCGCGCCTGCTTTTCTCAAGAGCTCCGGGAGATTTCGTCATGACAGGGTTCAGGGTTTAGGGTTTCGGGTTTATATAGGGTTTAGAACCCTAAGCCCTAAACCCTAAACCCTAAACCCTAAACCCTAAACCCTAAACCCTAAACCCTAAACCCTAAACCCTAAACCCTAAACCCTGAACCCTCAACCCTCAACCCTCAACCCTAAACCCTAAACCCCAAACCCTAAACCCTAAACCCTAAACCCTAAACGGGGGGCTCAAGTTCCCAGCTGCCCAGGGACGTGGAGCGCATCGTGGCCACTGGCGGGGCCTTCGCGGCAGTGCGCGCGGATCGCCTCTGGGGCCGCAGATTTTTGTACCCTAAACCCTAAACCCTAAACCCTAAACCCTAAACCCTAAACCCTAAACCCTAAACCCTAAACCCTAAACCCTAAACCCTAAACCCTAAACCCTAAACCCTAAACCCTAAACCCAAAACCCTAAACCTAAAACCCTAAACCCTAAACCCTAAACCCTAAACCCTAAACCCTAAACCCTAAACCCTAAACCCTAAACCCTAAACCCTAAACCCTAAACCCTAAACCCTAAACCCTAAACCCTAAACCCTAAACCCCAAACCCTACACCCTGCACCCTAAACCCGAAACCCGAAACCCTAAACCCTAAACCCTAAACCCTAAACCCTAAACCCGAAACCCTAAACCCTAAACCCTACAGGGGCTCGGAAGCCATCGAAAGTCCTCTATCGAAGGGAGGGTTTAGGGTTTAGGGGCTCGGAAGCGGTGGAAAGTCCCATATCTTAGGGTTTAGGGTTTAGGGTTTAGGGTTTAGGATGCAGTAACACGGTCCCTCAAGCTGGCCCCCTTGCCCTCTTTAAAGGGTTGTATGGGCCCTTCAATTGTATAGGGCTAATGTAAGGGGTGTATGAGAGGTCCCCTAGAAGACCTGGGCCCCTTGAAGGGCTTGTGGACAAGTCCCTACGCCCTATAAACCTTACGCTTAAACCCTAGAAACCGAAAAATTCTAGAAAACCCAAATTATTTACCCTACATGAATCCTAAATAAATCGTATATTAATCCCGTTTAAACACCAATACTTTCACAAAACCCTGAGCTTTAGGATGTACGGGTTCGGGGTTTTGGGGTTTTGGGGTTTAGGGTTTAGTGTTTTAGGGTTTAGGGTTTAGGGCTTTGGGTTTAGGGTTTAGGGCTTCGCTCTCCGAGGAAGGGTGGTTACATGGGGCGAGCCGCTCGGCTGCAGGGCGCTCTCATCGTTTGTCGTTCCTTTGAAGGGTTTCCCTACCCATCGCTTACGGTTTAGGGTTTAGGGTTTAGGGTTTTTCATTTTGGTTTAGGGTTTAGGGCAACCGGCCCCCCCCCCCGGTTCCCCCCTTAAATAGCCTTAACCAGGTTAAATTGTCCCTAAGTAGCCTTAAGTATGGGGGAGACCTAGAGCCTAATCCCTAAGGCCTCAACCTCTTACCCTCAACCCTCAACCCTAAACCCTGAACCCTAAACCCTAAACCCCCCCCCCCCCTCTCAACCTGTTCATTCCTGTCAGATCCTTGGGCAGCTCCTGACGCCCCCCAAGCTCCTAATTACCCCCCGCCTTAAGAACCTAGAGTTTAGGGTTTAGGGTTTAGGGAAGGTTCCACTTTATTTCGTAGGTTACATAAGAATCCTATAAGGGCCTTCTAGTAGTATAAGGTGCTCTTTAAATCTGGGGAGCCCAGCATCCCCAAGCAACCTAAACTTCTCAAACCCCCGAGAGCCCCTCTAAGCCCTGAACCCACAAATCCCGACAGTTCCGCCTAAGAACCACCAGAAATCCCAGATTCCTAAAACTCCTAGGACCCGGAGTAGGCCCTTGTTTTCTTGTTTTAGGGTTGGGGTTCCCTTATATTCCCCCCCAAAACCAAAAAGGATACCCTTGTTATTCCTAGGTTACTCCTAGGTCTAACCCTAAACCCTAAACCCTAAACCCTAAACCCTAAACCCTAAACCCTACACCCTTCAGGAGCACCATGGGTGGGAACTGCTCGGCCGTGGCCATGCAGCTCCAGGCGCGCTGCAGGTTTTAGGGTTTAGGGTTTACGGTTTAGGGTTTAGGGTTTAGGGTTTAGGGTTTAGGGTTTTAGTGTTTAGGGTTTAGGGTTTAGGGTTTTAGGCTTTAGGGGTTAGGGTGTAGGGCATGGCAAACCGCAAAGTACTTGGGGTTTTTAGGTACTTTTGGCCCTAGAAGGCAGTGGGCCTACAAGTGCAGTTAATAAGTACACTTGTGATTGGGGTTATTATAACGTCCTGCATTGAGGACTTAGGCGCCCTATAAGTACAGCTATGCTTAGGCCTTTTTAAATACCCTGAATCTCACAAGTTCTAAGTGCAAAGGCCGGCGGTGTCTTGCAGGCTAAGGTCGTGGGGCTTAGGCTTTCTTGTCTTGCTTCATTTCCTTTTTTGTAAGGTGTGGAGGTTGACGTTGACTATAGTGGTACCCAGAGACTCCCTCAATATCCCTTACTCAGGGAAGATTCCGTATCATGAAACCCCGAAGTCTGTTCCACCTCAGCATGGCTAGGAGGCAGCACAACATGCAGGGCTTAGGGTTTAGGGTTTAGGGTTTAGGGTTTAGGGTTTAGGGTCTAGGGTTTAGGGTTTAGGGTTTAGGGTTTAGGGTTTAGGGTTTAGGGTTTAGGGTTTAGGGTTTAGGGTTTAGGGTTCCGGCAATAGTAATGCCACCCAGGATGTCGTGGCTGTCCGTGGCACAGTGAATCCTGGCTTGACACCATTTTTTTTCAGGGTCTAAGCCCCAAACCCCCGAACCCCTAAGCCTGAACCCTAAACAGTGACCCCGGCACCTTAAACCCTAAACCCTAAACCCTAAACCCTAAACCCTAAACCCTAAACCCTAAACCCTAAACCCTAAACCCTAAACCCTAAACCCTAAACCCTAAGATACAGACAGGTCGGGGTCTTCTCCTCATCAGGGGGCCTAGACATCTGCAACAGGGTTTGCCCGACCCTGGGAGAGGCTCGATTTCCCGGTCGGCCCTTTTTCCTTTTTTTGGAGGGTTTAGGGTTTAGGGTATAGGGTTTAGGGTTTAGGGTTTAGGGTTTAGGGTTAGGGTTTAGGGTTTAGGGTTTAGGGTTTGGGGTTTAGGGTTTAGGGTTTAGGGTTGAGGCTCCTTCTAAACGTGCTTGGCAGCCCTTTTGACTTGGTAAGTCTGCTTCTACGACCCAGAGTAGGTCGTTCTTAAACCCTAAACCGTAAACCCTAAACCCTGAACCCTGAACCCTGAACCCTGAACCCTAAACCCTAAACCCTAAACCTTAAACCCTAAACCCTGAACCCTAAGCCCCTAAACCCCTAAACCCCTAAACCCTAAACCCTTTCCCTTCTGTTTAGGGTTAAGGTTCCCCTACAAGCCCTTTAGCCAAAACGGCACCCTTCTTATGCCTAGGTTACTCTAGGTTCGACTTGGAACCTCAGGGTTTAGGTTTTAGGGTTTAGGGTTTAGGGTTTAGTTTAGGGCTTACCAGTCCACAGGACGTCCAAGTGCCCAATTACCACATAGGGGAGCCCGTCTAAATCCAGCCTGCAGCCCTAAATCCTGCAACCCTCTAACCCTATAACCCCTAAGCCCTTAACACCCCATACAAACCCTAGACACACCCACAACCCTAGATCCGAAACCCTAAAGCTCTATACCAACTAGGGGCGCCCTTTCAGAATCCTAGGCTGTTGGGGGATCCCAGACCCCGGCGCCGAACTCGTTGTGGGGGAGGGGGGGGGTTCGGGTTTTGCCCATGTTGCCGGCTCAGGAAGGTGCACATTGGAGGTTCAGGCAAAGCAGGTCTGTCATATCCTAAGCCCTAAACTCTAAACCCAAGACCCTAAACGCTAAACCCCCTTTTTTTGAAACCTCTGCTACTACGCATCCATATCCATCATGAACCTCCAAGTATGCCCTGGAATTCAGCGTCTCTTCTGAAATCTGCTGACCATGCAGTTCCAGATGGTCTTGCTGTTCGCGGACACGAACCAGCTTTGTACATTCGGCTCCTATGCCGCTTCACCACCGAGTCCAGCTGGCTTCAATGCGCGGTGGAATCGCACACGAAACCACCACAACCGAAGATGGGTGCTGAGAATCGCTCACTGAGGTCCTGACGTACTAAGGAGCCTACCAGCAAGAAGACCCTACAAGCCTAAAACCCTAAGACCCTAAAACCCTAGACCCTAAAACCCTGAAACCCTACAACCCTAAAACCCGAAAACCCTTAGACCCTGAAACCGTACAACCCCAAAACCCTAGAACCCTGGACCCTAAAATCCTACAACCCTAACACCCTATACCCTAAAACCCGACTAAAACCCTAACAGCCCTAATCAAACCCTAAAATCCAACTAAACCCTAAAACTCTGAATCCCAAAACCCTAAAACCCTAAATTGCCGAAACCCTAAAGCCTAAAGCCCTAAACCCCCAAACCCCTAAGACCCTAAACCCCTCTTTTCCCAGGCTTGCCTTTGCAGCGCTTAAACCCTAAACCCTAAACCCTAAAACCCTAAACCCCTAAACCCTAAACCCCTAAACACTACACCCTTCTTTTCCCAGGCATGCCTTTGCAGCCCTTACGGGCGGCGGGAGAGTCATTACCTGGGGCCGCGACGAGGCGTCCTTTCGCTGGGGTTCAGGGTTTAGGGTTTAGGGTTTCGGGTTTAGGGCTAGGGTTTGGGGTTAGGCTTTAGGGTGGATTCAGGGTTCAGGATTTGGGATCTTCCCCCTGAGACTAGCAGTTCCTTAATAAGGGGTTTAAGGTTTCGGGTTTTGGGGATGTTCCCCCTTAGACTAACAGGTCCTTAATGGGGATTATGGGGTACCCCGAGAAAGGGCTATTAGTATAAGTGGGAACATCCAAAAATGAAACTCCTTGAGAGTTCATAGGGTTCAGGGTTTAGGGTTTCCGCTTTCTGGGCTTTTCGGTCCCTGAACCCTAAACCCTAAACCCTAAACCCTAAACCCTAAACCCTAAACCCTGAACCCTAAACCCTAAACCCTAAACCCTAAACCCTAAACCCTAAACCCTAAACCCTAAACCCTAAACCCTAAACCCTAAACCCTAAACCCTAAACCCTGTTGTGTGTTAGGGTTTAGTGTTGATGATTTGGGGGTGAGCATGTTTGTGCAGGTCTTGGGCTTCCGGATGTTTGCAGAAGCTCCTTGAGGTATTGGTTGTAGAAGGGTTCAAGGGCTTAGGCTTTTCGCCAGGAGTACACCTCAAGCGCAGCAAGCTGAAAAACCTCACAACCCTGAAGCCTAAACTCCTCAACCCCACCCTTAAAAACCCCCAAAAGCCCTAAACCCAATTCCCCTACACCCTAAACCCTAAGCCCCTGAACCCTAAACCCAAATCGCCCTAAACCCAAATCTCCCTGAACCCAGGTCCCCTAAACCCTAAACCCTAAACCCTAAACCCTAAACCCTAAACCCTAAACCCTAAACCCTAAACCCTAAACCCTAAACCCTATAGCCTGGGCCAGATCTTCGGGTTTTGGGTTCGGTGGGCTTTAGCGGCGGCCCTGAACCAGCCCAGCCCCCTCATCCGAACGTGAGGGTTCAGGGTTCAGGGTTTAGGGTTTAGGGTTCAGGGTTTAGGGTTTAGGGTTTAGGGTTTAGGGTTTAGGGTGTATATGGTTTAGGGCTTAGGGCGTCGAAGGTCGCTGCTGACCTGGGAGTTCACGTTTATGAGCTCCGCTGGACTCCTTACTGTCACGTCACCTTGGAGGTGTTGCAGGCAGCTTGGATGCCGGAGCACAACGGGAGACATTACGCTGAATACGCTTTGGCCGTGCAGCACCAACATGGGTGTGCACTCTTTGAGTTGGGAGCGGTGTCGGGGACTTATTTCCCTTTGCCTTCTCCCTTTTCAGATGACGCCTCTCTATACGACTCTGAGACGGAGTCCAACTCTTTCGAGGAGCCACACGAGTTTCGCAGGGATTGGGATGAGGAGCCTGAAAACTACGGAGGTGAATTGTGGTCGGGTTCAGGGCTGGCTTGGGATGTTAGGGGGTTCGAGAGACTTCTGCTTCCTGAGCATAATTTTCTGAGAGCGCGGTCCGAATTGCAGGGCAAGCCTAGCAAGTTCTGAGCAAGCCTAGTGTTTTTCCCCAGTTATAGAAAGCATAAAGCACTAAACCCTATAGACCCCCTCAACGGGACATCTCGGACACAGACAGGCGGGCGGCAACTTGGGTGTCGTGGCTGCTGTCCACTCGACCATCACCCGAACCAAAGTGAGGCGGGTTTGGGGGTCCGGACGCCCCAAGCTCAAACCCCCAGGACCCTAAACGCCAAACCCCAAACCCTGAACCCTAAACCCCAAACCCTAAACTGCCAACCCTACACCCTCAATCCGAACCTTAAGCCACAGCACGAAACACTCAACCCTGGACTCCTATTCCAGAGGTTCCCTTTCTAGGGGTTCCACGCAGTCCCGGAGCCCCTTATGTAGGGTTTCGGGTTGAAGGTTTATGGGTTGAGGGGTTTTCGGGTTTAGGGTGTAGGCTTTTTGGGGTTTATAAACCTTAAACCCTAAACCCTAACCCTAAACCCTAAACCCTAAACCCTAAACCCTAAACCCTAAACCCTAAACCCGAAACCCGAAACCCTAAACCCTAAACCCTAAACCCTAAACCCTAAACCCTAAACCCTAAACCCTAAACCCTAAACCCTAAACCCTAAACCCTAAACCCTAAAGAGTTTGAATTTTAGTTTGTGTTTTTCGGGGTTAGGTTTCAGGGTTTAGCAAGCCCGCTCCTGGCCAGGGACGTCGTGGCCACAGACTACGCCTTCGCGGCCGTGCTTTGCGATGGCACAGCGGCCTGGCTAGCAACGCAGAGTGGCCCGTAAATTCCACCCTAAACCCTAAACCCTGAAACCCTAGACCCGAAACCCTAAACCCTAAACCCGAAACCCGAAACCCGGAACTCGAACCTCAAACTCAAGCCCGCTGAGCCCCACAAACTCCACGGACCACAGAAAATAGAAAAAGAAAAAAGAGTAAAAAACGCTATAAGCACCCTATGCCCTGCACCCTATGACCTATGAACCCTATGAACCCCCTAAACCCTGTGAACCCCGAAACCCCGAAACCCTGAAACCCGAAACCCTAAATCCCGAAAAAGCCTAAAACCCTAAACCCTAAACCCTAAAGAGGAACAAACCCAGGTTCAAGCCTAGACGATACACCAAAAAACCCTTACAAAACCCAGAGAGCAAACCCCAGGTTCAAGCCTAGACGATACACCCTAAAACCCTAAACCTTAAAAAACCCTAGAGAAAAAAAAACCCTAAAACCCTAAAAACCTAGGAAAAAAGCCCAGGTTCAAACCCCAAACCCTAACCTTAAAAACCCTAGAGAAAAAAACCAAAAACCCTCAAAAACCTACGAAAAAAGCCCAGGTTCAAGCCTGGGGCGGACCCGAGTTCGGCGGCCACTGTCCCTGGGGACGGTCGGACAAGGAGCTGCGGCGCGGCGGGCAGTGGCTTTAAGGGGTTGCGGGGGGTTTTAGGGTTTCTTGTTTTATTTATTCTTTTGTGTGTGTGTGTGTTATTATGTTTTATTTTTTTTTTTTTTTTGGGGGGGGGGGGTTCGTTTTTTTGTTTTTTTTTTTCTTGGTGTGTGTGTGTGTGTGTGTGTGTGGAGTTTTGGGTTTGGGGCTTTGCAGCTGGTGGCGGGCTCGAGAGTTTAGGGTTGAGGTGTTCGGAGGCCTTAGGAGGGTTTCGGGTGTGGGGCGGGCTTCAGGGTTTAGGGTTTGGGGCGTTTTGGCGTGTTTAGGGCTTGGGGTTGTGGGATATAGGGTTTAGGGTTTAGGGCTTGGGGCTTTGGATGTTTCTTTTTTCAGGAAGGGGCAGCTCTTTTGGGATCTAGCCCTCACACCCTAAACGCTTCACTGCAATTCCTGTTTGAAGATGGGGTTAAGTCACTCTAAAATCGAGCTTCAAACCCAAAACCCTTCTCAACCCTGAACCCTCGACCCTACAGCCTAGGCCCGAACCCTATTACTAAACCCTAAACCCTAAACCCCAAACCCCAAACCCAAAACCCAAAACCCAAAACCCCCAAACCCCAAACCCAACAACCCTAAGCCCTAACCCGTAAACCCTGAACCCCCTAAACCCTAGCGTCGGCTCAGAAAATCCTAAACCCTAAACCCTAAAACCTAGTCCCTAAACCCTAAACCAACCCTAAACCCTAAGCCCTAAGCCCTAAACCCTAAACCCTGAACCCTGAACCCTAAACCCTAAACCCTAAACCCTAAACCCTAAACCCTAAGCTGGTCTCAGGCAAGGCGTCAAGTCCCTCCACGCGACCTCTCGGGCGTTCGCGGCGCTGAAAGAAGATGGCGTCCCGGCTTTCAGAGCCAAGGAGCTCCCCCAAAACCTTACCTTTTAGGGTTTAGGGTTTAGGGTTTTGGGTTTCGGGTTTTGGGTTTTGGGTTTACAGTTTTTGTTGTTGTTTCTTTTTTTGGGGGGGTTACTTAGAGGTTCCTGGCTATCATAAGTAGTTCCAACCGGCTTATACCCCAAAGCCTAAAGCCTAAAGCGTAAAGCCTAAGCCCTAAACCCTAAACCCTAAACCCTAAACCCTAAACCCTAAACCCTAAACCCTAAACCCTAAACCCTAAACCCTAAACCCTAAACCCTGAACCCTGAACCCTGAACCCTGAACCCTGAACCCTGAACCCTGAACCCTGAACCCTGAACCCTGAACCTGAAACCCCAAGCCCTACCTGTGGGTGTAGGGGGTTTCGGGGGTGTGGGGGTTGGAGCTGGCCTTCGAAGGGCTAGCCGAAAAAAGAGTTCGGGGCATGGTTTCCGCTTGTTTTTGCTGTAGTTGGGGCTTAGCCCTTAACATAAACATCCTTAACCGCAAGCCCTAAGTCAGAAACCCTAAGCCCTAAACCCGAAACCCGAAACCCGAAACTCTAAACCCTAAACCCTAAACCCTAAACCCTAAACCCTAAACCCTAAACCCTAAACCCGAAACCCTAAACCCTAAACCCTAAACCCCCCAAACCTTGAGGACCCATGGTTGGAGAATGGACAGACTGAGGGAGTTTGTGGGTGGGCTCTAGGGTTTAGGGCTTCGGGCTTGGTACCTCTCGTCTAGAAAGGCCATGCAAGGCACACAGGGTTACACTGTGTGGGCCCTTCACACGTAAACTCGAAAGTTCCCCAAGCTCTAAACCCTAAGACCCAAACCCTAAACCTTAAACCCTAAACCCTAAACCCTAAACCCTAAACCCTAAACCCTAAACCCTAAGCCCTAAACTCTAAACGCCAAACCCTAAACCCTAAGCCCTAAGCCCTAAGCCCTAAGCCCTAAGCCCTAAGCCCTGAGCCCTAAGCCCTAAGCCCTAAGCCCTAAGCCCTAAGCCCAAGAACCTAAGCCCTGCAACCTAGTGCCTCGAGGCACTGTTGTCGCCTGGGGCGACAGAACGGCTGGTGGCGATGCTCGGTTGGCTGCCCGCCCGAACATCGACCACACTTGTGTCGGAAGTTTAGGGTTTAGGGTTTAGGGTGTTTAGGGTTTTTAGGGTTTTTAGGGTTTTTAGGGTTTTGAGGGTTTGGGAATCGTATGCTTCGAACCCAAAACCGTAAACCTCATCTCATAGCCCTCACACTTCCGAACCCGCTGATCCAAACCTGTACCTCTCTGAGGTTGCTCCGTAAGTGTGTGCTTAGTATACTCCGACTGTGGTCCCTACATGCCCCCAAGAGGTTTCATTTCGCAGTGAAAAACCCTCAGCCCTAAACCCTAAACCCTAAACCCTAAACCCTAAACCCTAAACCCTAAACCCTAAATCCTAAACCCTAAACCCTAAACCCTAAACCCTAAACCCTGAACCCTGAACCCTGAACCCTGAACCCTGAACCCTGAGCCCACCCAAGCCCACAAACCTTAGGAGGTGTCCAGGGCGCAGTCCCCTGAGCTCAGGTGAGACCTCGCCTCCAAGGGGTGGTCCAGCGCCTGCTCTGCGCGTAATGCAGGGTTTAGGGTTTAGGGTTTGGGGTTTAGGGTTTAGGGTTTGGGGTTTAGGGTTTGGGGTTTAGGGTTTAGGGTTTGGGGTTTAGGGTTTGGGGTTTAGGGTTGAGGGTTTAGGGTTTAGGGTTTAGGGTTTGGGGTTTAGGGTTTGGGGTTTAGGGTTTAGGGTTTCGGGTGTGGTGCGGCCGTTTTAGGGGTTCCGACAATCAGGATTAGAGGGTATGTTGTGGGTACCCTATTTTTTTTGGCAAATGTCATTTGAATAAAGGGCGGCAATTTGAGGGGCTGACCTCAGCCGTAATCGCCAGACCACAAACCCTAAAGCAAAACCACCCTAAACGCTAGGCCCTAAACCCTAAACCCTAACCAACCCCTAAACCGCTAAACCCCTAAACCCCTAAACCCAGCCCTCAGACTCGTGAGATGACAACTTGGAGGTTCAGGGTACATATTAACCAAGCACCATGAACTTCCAAGAAAATCCTAAACCCTAGCGCTAAGCCCTAAGCCCTAAGCCCTAAGCCCTAAGCCCTAAGCCCTAAGCCCTAAGCCCTAAGCCCTAAGCCCTAAACCCTAAACCCTAAACCCAAGGATTCAGGGATCGGACTACGCCTTTGCGGCCATCCTGGCCGATGGCGGCGTCGACGCTTAGTGGCATCAGCCCTAGGGTTTAGGGTTTAGGGTTGAGGGTTTAGGGTTTAGGGTAAAGGGTAAAGGGTTTAGGGTTTAGGGTTTAGGGGTTAGGGTGTAGGGGTTAGGGTTTAGGGTTTAGGGTACCACGTGCTCTAAACCTGGGTTTGGGGTTTAGGAGCTTGGGGTTTGGGGTTTGGGGTTTAGGGCTTGGGGTTTAGGTTTAGGGTTTTGGGTTGAGGGTTTAGGGTTTGGGGTTTAGGGTTTAGGGTTTAGGGTTGAGGTTGACTGAACGCCGTCAACTGCAGAATCTTCCACAAGCTAACATCTTCATAGGGTCGAGGGCTAGAGGGGCTTCAGAGTGCGGCCACAGAGTCAAAACCTCCCAACATAGCAAGCCTAACCCTCAAAGCCCTAAGCAAAAGTGGGTTTAGGGTTTAGGGTTTAGGGTCTAGGGTCTAGGGTTTAGGGTTTAGGGTTTCGGGTTTAGGGTTTAGGGTTTAGGGTTTAGGGTTGTGTTCGATACTGTACGATACCGTTGAAATTGCTCCGGAAGCCTAGTCGCGATATCATCTGGGCCCTCAGCCCTTCCCCTTCAGCCCCGCTAGAGCAGCTTCGCAATCGAGCAAAGTAGAAAGCTAAACCATAAACCATAAACCCTAAACCCTAAACCCTAAACCCTAAACCCTAAGCCCTAAACCCTAAACCCAAAGCCCTAAACCCTAAACCCTAAACCCTAAACCCTAAACCCGAAACCCGAAACCCTAAAACCCTAAACCCTAAACCCTAAACCTAAAACCCTGACACCCCCCCCCCCCCCCCTAATGAAGCACCGACAAGTAAGTCTTCCTCTCGAGGTCACCTGGGGCTGCGAGCGCGCTGGCGGCGATTCCACTGCGGTCCAGGAGCAACTCAAGGCGCACTTGCTTTTTGTGTTGGTTTTGAGTTCAGGATTTAGGGTTAAGGGTTTAGGGTTTAGGGCTTAGGGTTTAGGATCTTACCAGTGCAACGCTCAACCATGGGTGGCTTGAAGGGGGTAAAAGTTTGTCTGAGTTTCCAGTACCCGACTCTTGGTTATGGGTTCTGCAGTTCTATAAATCCTAAGCCTTGCGAGCCCTAAATGCTCAACTGAGCCCTAAGCCCTATGAGCCTTGAGCCCTCAACCTGGAGCAGCACATATTCTTGGAGGGGGTTAGGGTTTAGGGTTTAGGGTTTAGGGTTTAGGGTTTAGGGTTTAGGGTTTAGGGTTTAGGGTTTAGGGTTTAGGGTACATGGTCCGTTAATGTGGTCCCTTACCTTCTGTAAAGGCTTCTGAAGTACAGGCCCTTGGGTTGTATGGCGTAGGGATGTATATAAGGGGTTATACAGCCTCCCGAGGATGTCCGCAGCATCGCGGCGACAGAGGCTGCCTTTGCCGCGATTCGCGGACAGTGGAGGGGGGGAGGTACTTGGAGGTTCATGGTATTTATTAACCAATTGGGGCTGTATAACAACCCCGCGCAGTCGATTTAAGAAAGGAATTGCCCGAAGCGTTTGGGGCAGTGCTTCTGACTCGTAAAACGATAATCAAGAACATAACATGTATCTTTGTAACATCGGGGCGGGCAGGCGATATTCCAGTACTAAGCTTGTACTACAAATACATGAAAACAATGAAAACCCAGCCTGCTCATGGGAACGTCGGTTCCAGTACTACGCTTGTACTACAAATCAACGAAACGCAGCCGGTTTCTGTATTATGCCTGTACTACGAACCAATGAAAAACCAGCCGGCTCGCGGGAACGTCGGTTCCAGTACTAAGCTTGTACTACCAATCAACGAAAACCCAGCAGGCTCACGGGAACGTCGGTTCCAGTACTAAGCTTGTACTACAAATCAACGAAAACCCAGCCGGCTCACAGGAACGTCGGTTCCAGTACCAAGCTTGTACTACAAATCAACGTAAACCCAGCCCGCTCACGGGAACGTCGGTTCCAAATTGTTGGTTCTTCCCCCAAACCCTGTAAAACGACAATCAAGAAAATAAAAATATAACCCTGGGACGGATGAATAGATTTAACACGGGGTTTCTATACAACCCCAATTATAACTGTACTTACAACTGTACTTATACACATATTAGGGCACTTGAAGGGCGCATAAGTGGGCTAAAAGTACAGTTGTACTTGGTTAATAAGTACCTTGAACCTCCAAGTAGGGTTGAGGTTTGCTGTGCCATGGCGCAGACGCTGTGAAGGTCAGGATAGAGACTGGTAAGTTTTAGTTTTTAAAGTCCTCTTTGGGTACTTGAGATGTACATGAGACTTAGCTGTTCTAATGATGTTTTTGAGGACAAGTTGATGTCAGAGGCATTCTGTTATGGTGCTTCCTCAACCCCTAAACCCTCAACCCGAAACCCTGAACTCTAAACCCAAAGCCTAAACCCCAACCCCTAACCCCTAACCCCTAACCCCTAAACCCTAAACCCTAAACCCTAAACCCTAAACCCTAAACCCTAAACCCTAAACCCTAAACCCTAAACCCACTACACCCTAAACCCTAAACCCTAAACCCTAAACCCTAAACCCTAAACCCTCACCCCTAAACCCTAAACCCTAAACCCTAAACCCTAAACCCTAAACCCTAAACCCTAAACCCTAAACCCTAAACCCTAAACCCTAAACCCTAAACCCTAAACCCTCCGTCCGTACTGTCCGTGCATGCCACTGGATGAAGCTGGGGACGGCAAGGAGATGGCAGCGTCGTCACCTGGGGTAACGAACTTTCCGGGGGCGACAGCTCCCTGGCTTGGGTTTAGCTTCTTCCTCCTGGGATTTGCGTGTTTGGTTTTCAGGGGTTTGGGGTTCAGGGTTTGGGGTTTAGGGTTTAGGGTTTGGGGTTTAGGGTTTGGGGTTTAGGGTTGTGGGTTTAGGGTTTAGGGTTTAGGGTGTGCGTGCGTGTGTGTCTTCGAGGGCTTTACTTAGGGTGCTGAGGGCTTTGAGGCGTCCAAGCTTTATGGGGCGTTTAGGGTTTCGGGTTTAGCTGTAAGGGAGCTTCATGGGCCATTGACATGGTCCCCAGCCTCCTTTAAAGGGCTCTGATGTATGGGATTCGTATAGGGCATATGGAGTTTATGAGGGGTACCCCTTTAAGGGCCCATGCTAAGGGACCATGTAACTACCCTTAGAGAGAGGCCTTCTAGGCAAGTGTTTAGGGTTTAGGGTGGGCTGGCATGTGGGAGGGGCCTAGGCCAAATGACTTGGTAGCCCTAGTGGTGCCCTTTTGTTTAGGGTTTAGGGTTTGGGGTTTGGGGTTTAGGGTTTAGGGTTTGGGGTTCTGGGTTCCCTTATAAACGCAACCAGCCGCAAAAAGGGTACCCTTCTTACCTATTGTGATTTTTTTTACTGGGATACCAAGATACCCATAGCCCACCCAGACTAGCATCTTGAAAGCCAAGTTGAGAGGATGCGAAAGTACTCTCGTAGGGCTTTTGTTGCCAGGATACGGCAACATAGACACCCCATGTACTCACTCACCCATGTCTGCAGGAACCATGCATCCTCACCAAAGCCGTTTTAGACAAGCCCTCAGCATGTGGGGTTTCTGTGTTCCGCCTGGGACCTGGTGCCCCCAAACCCTGAACCCTACACCCTTCAGTCCCTCTAACGCCCAAGACCCAAAATAAACAACGCCTTTTCTTAGCGCGTTCAAGGGCATAAGGATGCCTTTAAACAAGTCAAAGTTTAGGGTTTAGGGACGAAATCAACGGTTCAGATTCATAGGCTCCTCAACTGCAGTAGCAACTTGCAGGCAGTCACGTCCAGCAGCAGCTCGAGGATGTGGCAAACATCACAGGCCGACACTGTCGCGACGATGTTCAAGGGTTAAGGGCTTAGGGCTTAGGGTTTTGGGGTTTAGGGTTTAGGGTTTAGGGTTTAGGGCTAAGCGCTTAGGGTTTGGGATGGGTTTAGGGTTTAGGATTTAGGATTTAGGGTCTCCTGGACCCCTGCCAAGCCCAACCCCCCAAGGCCATACACAAGAGACCCCGAGGGGCCCCCCGAGTTATAAGTAGAGTTATAAGAGCCCTAAATTGAGATTAGGTCCCCCCCCTAGTTATAAGTAGAGTTATAGGAGCCCTAAATTGTGTTATAAGGATCCCTAGATTAGGTTATAGGTCCCTTAAATACAGTTAGTATAGTAAGGGGGCCCCTCCTTGTACTGTCATACAGCACCTGCAAAACTCGAGGCCTCACATACCCAAAGAGCCGAAGGCCCCTGAAACAAGGAATAGACCTTATAAAGGATCCCTATATCATTTCAGGATATTTCAGTCAGATTCCTGAATTAAAGGGGTGTTGGGCTTTCTGGGTAGCCTCGGGGAGAGGAAACTTGGAGTCGCTTGCAGCGAGGGATGCCGAGGGCTGTTTGCTTGGACTTGCGCGCACGCAAGATTTTTGCGATAGCGGTAGCTTGTCTTTCCTGACGCCCACAAACCCTATACCTTGCGCCGTGCCTTTGAAAGCTACAACCCTAAACCCTAAACCCTAAGCCCTAAACCCTAAACCCTAAACCCTAAACCCTAAACCCTAAACCCTAAACCCTAAACCCTAAACCCTAAACCCGCAAGCTGCACAATTCCTGCAGGGTCCGTGGCCGCCTTCGCGGCGATCCTGGAGAACGGCAAGGTGGTGCGACTTGGTCTCATCCTGACACTGCTTGGGAGGCTCCTCGAAATGATGGTCCTTGTTAGCGCAAGAATACGGAGCGTGATGATTATGTAGGGTCCCCAAAGAAGGCCCAGAAGTTTGCTCACAGCAATGCCCCTAAACCCTAAACCCTAAGCCCCACACTCTAAACCCTAGACCCTGAACCCTAAAGCCCCCCTCCCCCCTCCCATGCTAAGAACCCTCAACCCCGCCAAGACAACAATGATCCCCATTTCTGCTGAAAGCCAAACCCCCCAACCCTCGAATCAAGAAACATAGGGTTGAGGGTTTAGGGTTGAGGGTTTATGGTTTAGGGTTTAGGGTATTCCCTGTGGCATCTTACAGTAGATGGGGCGGGGGAACATTTGTAACCCTAAGCCCTAAACCCTAAACCCTAATCGCAGGGAGGGGATGAAGCAAACCCGTGAAGTTAACAACCCCCACACCCCCACGACCCTCAGGGCACTTCCAACCCCAATTACAGCTGGGTTTAGGGTTTAGGGTTTAGGGTTTAGGGTTCTTCTAACCCCAATTACAACTGCACGTATAACCCCCCCCCCCTTAAGTCCACTAAGCAGGTTCGAAGTAGACTTGTAATTGGGGTTCCAAGTACCCATGAACCTGCAAGTAGTCCCTATAAGTCCCCAAGCCACAATTCCCAAGCTCCATACGCCAAACCCTAAACCCTAAACCCTAAACCCTAAACCCTAAAACCCTAAGCCCAAAACCTTAGCCTTGAATCCTGAACCCTAGGCCCAAAACCCTCAACCCCTCAAGACCCGAAAGACCCTGAACCCCCAATAGTTCGTGAAACCCTCAACCCCAAACCCTAAGAACAAACACGTTTGAGGGTTTAGGTTTTCCCTCAAACCCCGAGACCCCTAAGACCCTAAGACCCTAAGACCCTAAACTCTAAACCCTAAATTTAAGAGCCTCCCCTCCGGCTCAGGCCAAGGGGGGGGGGGGGTAAGGGGGGGGGTAAGGGGGGGGGTAAGGGGGGGGGGGGGGAGGCGGGGGGGGGGGGGGAGGGGGGGGGGGGTAGGGGGGGGGAAGGGGGGGGTAGAGGGTTTTTTTTCGGAAAAGGCGCTCGTGAACAACGAGACCAACGACCCTTGTTGTCTGGTCTGTCAGAAACGGGCAGCAGAGTCCCACCTGATGTCGGAGCCTCATGCCGAGAACATGAGGAACTTCATGGCATAGCGCAATCCGATCGGGTGCCAGTCCGACAGGTCCATGTCGACTGGAATACTTGGAAGCAGGCGATGGACGAGCCATTGGAGCTCGAGATTGGACCTCGCCAGGGGAGAGGGTTCGCGGTCCACGCCCTTGGACCGGACATCACCATGGAAGCCGAGACCGTACCGGGACCAGCGACCCCGGATGCTTTGTCCAACGACATGGAGATTGTGACCACGGAGGAGGCTGTGCCAGAACCCCCTGCAGCGCCCAAGGCAGTGGGTACAACGCTGGCGGGGTACCCCGCCCCAACCCCCCCCCCCCGGTTTTGGGGGGTAAGGAGGAAAGAGGGAGGTTTTCACCTCCTTTTCCCATCCAACACGCCACCAGGGTCGGCGGACCCTAAACCCTAAGCCCTAAGCCCAAAGCCCAAAGCCCAAAGCCCAAAGCCCAAAGCCTTAAGCCCTAAGCCATAAACCCTAAACCCTAGACCCTACACGAACTTGGAACTCCAAAAAGCCTGCTTGCCCAGGACTTGGGGTGACCCCTACTCTGGCGGCAAGATACCAGATACAGCACTTTGGGCAGACTGCGGGTGCGGTTTAGGGTTTAGGGTTTAGAGTTTAGGGTTTAGGGTTGAGGGTTGAGGGTTTAGGGTTTAGGGTTTAGGGTTCGGGGTTTGGGGTTTGGGGTTTGGGGTTGAGGGTTGAGGGTCTAGGGCCGAGGGTTGCTGGAGCTGTGAGCCTTTCTGTGCTGGATTTTGGGATGTATGGCTGCAGCGTTTTGGGTTTAGGGTCTAGGTAAACCCTAAACCCTAAACCTTAAACCCTAAACCCTAAACCCTAAACCCTAAACCCGGCGGTTTCGGTTTCGGAGTTTAGGGCTTAGTGTTGTGGGCTTTAAGGTTTTAAGGGTCTTAGGCAATTCTAAAGTTTGCGTCTGAAATCCCCGGAGTAGCCAGGTAGGGTTAGTGCTTAGGGTTTTTGGATAGAGGGCTTAGGGTTTAGGGCATAGACCCCATAGTAATTTAGGGGTTTTGGGTTTAGGGCTCCTTAGAACGATTGTTGTTTTTTTTTTGGGTCTTTGCGCGCATCGAAGCCCCAGACAAGCATGTTGGCGTGTGTGTTTGGCTCTACGGGCGCGACAACATTTTGGGTAAGGAACCCCAACCCCAAACCGTAAGCGCTCTCTCCCTAAATCCCTAAGGGGCAGCGTGCTCCGTTGTGGGCGACAGCCCGTCCCACCTCTGCACCACAGGCCCTCGAATCTACTTAAACCATGAACCCTGAACCCTAAACCCTAAACCTCTAACCCTAAACCCTAATACCCCAAGTCTGGGGTTTGGGCTTTGGGTGTTCAGGGCTTTTACCTTTTTCAAGTTGTCGCGAAATTTCTTTTTCAGGGAACGTTTTCAAGGCTGAGGTTTTAAGGGTTTTTGGGTGGGGGTGAAGGTGTCTTATAAGAGTGGCTGGTGGGCTTTGACTGGGTTGGTGTTTGAAAGAGCGTAGTAAGAGAGGGTTTCGGGTTTAGGGTCCAGGGCGTAAACCCTAAGCCCTCAACCCTAAGCCTTAAACCCTAAACCCCCATACCCTAAAGTTTTTCCAGGGCTTGGAGTTCTTTCATATTCTTTTTGTCGGGGCCCTGCCTGAGGTACAAAGTCAGCTCGACGCCTCCTTCGCCCAGCAGGTCCAAGCCTCGAGGTGCACGTTAGGGGGGGGCTTTCGGGGCCGGGGGGGACTGGGGATTAGGGTTTAGGGTTCTCCTAGAGGGATGGACTCAGTGTCCTTCGGCATCTCGCTAGAACCAGGGCCACTGGCACTTCCAAAGTTGGCACCCTCTTGGGCTTTTTTCGGAAAGATTTCGACATCATCCGCTTGCCGAAACCAAAGGCAAAAGCCAAATCCTCAGCATCAGCTGCAGGGGAACCTTGTTTACAACTCGCGGAGCAGCATCTTTGAGCAGAGTCCAGCAGTTACAACTTGATGACGTTGGCTTCACGTTTCCGTGACTAGACGGAAAAGAGCATCAGCAGGGCGGAAGATGAACAGCGCAAGCAGCGTTGAGGGTTGAGGGTTGAGGGTTGAGGGTTGAGGGTTGAGGTTTGAGGGTTGAGGGTTGAGGCTTTCGGGGGGGTTCAGGGGGGTTCGGGAGGGTTTAGAGGGGTTCAGGCGGTTTCGAGGTTTTCGGGGTTTTGGGGGATTTAGGGGGTTTCGGAGGTTTGGAGTGTTTAGAGGGTTTCGAGGGTTTAAGGTGTCGGTGTTGGGGCCTTCCTCTCCACGCCCTGCAAGGACCCCCCCGGAACCCGAAAGCCTAAACCTCAGACGCGCAAAACGGGAACCCACGTGGGAGGACACCACCAAGGTGGGTTCATCAAAATGGGGCCTTCCGAAATGAGGGAAACGCCGAAACCCTAAACCCTAAACCCTAAACCCTAAACCCTAAACCCCAAACCCTAAACCGGGGCTCCTGAATAATTACGGATTCTAAACTCCAGGGGGTGCCTGATCTCGTTCCTCAGAAGAACCTCCCGATGTTCCCTGCTGCTTTTGTTGTTAGGGGCTTAGGGCTTTGGTTAGGGCTTAGGGCTTAGGGCTTAGGGCTCAGGGCTTAGGGCTTAGGGCTTAGGGCTTAGGGCTTAGGGCTTAGGGCTTAGGGCTTAGGGTTTAGGGTTTAGGGTTTAGGGCTTAGGGCTTAGGGCTGAGGGTTTAGTGTTTAGGGTTAGGGTTTAGGGTTTAGGGTTTAGGGTTTAGGGCATCCCTCAACCCTAAATAAGCTACGGAGGCAGGCCTTTGCTGCCATCCTGGCCAATGGCACCGTGGTCTCCTGGGGCCACCCCTTGCAAGGAGGCACTTGTGGGTTCGATAGCCCCCCCTTCGGAGTAGGGTTTAGGGTTTAGGGTTTAGGGCTTTTAGCTCATGCAAAACCCAACACGATATTTAGAATACTGTTCTTATTCAGGTTCTAAGGGGGGTGTAGGGTTGGGGGCTTAGGGCCCAAGGATAAGTGGTTTCGTAGAACTTGCTGGGCTTGGGGTTTAGGGCTTCAGGGTGTAGGCATTGCGGCGCAGAGTGTATTAGCATTTAGTGTCTATAGCGTTCAGGGTGTAGGGTTTGGGGCTTTGCGCTTTTTTGGGGTGCAGGGGTTGCGATTGCCTAAACCCTAAACCCTAAACCCTAAACCCTAAACCCTAAACCCTAAACCCTAAACCCTAAACCCTAAACCCTAAACCCTAAACCCTAAACCCTAAACCCTAAACCTTAAAACCCAAAACCTGCGAAGAATCAGAACTCAGTCTACGCCTAGAACAGAGACCATAGGAGGGCACCAAACTTAGATCAAACCACATGCCCTGGTGAGCTGCGGGTCGTGAGAAGATGGGTTCAGGGTTTAGGGTTTAGGGTTTCGGGTTTGGGGTTTAGGGTTTAGGGTTCAGGATTCAGGGTTTAGGGTTTAGGGGCTAGGGTCAGCGGGAGAAGGAGGAGCAGCGAAGCACATGAGGAAGAGAGGAGGCCCTCATTGGGAGAGTCAGATTCCCCAAGAATCTACGACCGAACGTAATGAAGGACTGTTTGGGGGAGGTTTGGGGTCTAGGGTTTATAAGGTTCAGGGTTTAGGGTTTAGGGTTTAGGGTTTAGGGTTTAGGGTTTAGGGTTTAGGGCTTGGGCGTGACTGAATCCTGACAAGAACGGAAAGCAAGTTAACTTGGGGCCCCATACTTCGAAGCGTCAAGAGAGTATGGCAGCGCACGAACCCCAAGCCTCAGTTACGTCACACCCGAAACCCTAAGCCCCAAACCCTGAACCCTAAACCCTAAACCCTAAACCCTAAACCCCAAACCCTAAACCCTACTTGAGTAGGTGCCCTGCCTTCCAGGAAACAGCAGCATGGTGGCGCCGGAACTCCAGAATGTCCACCAGGCGGGTTTAGGGTTTAGGGTTTAGGGCTTAGGGCTTAGGGTTTAGGGTTTAGGGCGAGGCTGATCTCGTTTCTTGGCGCACCGTTCGGGCTCAGAGCCTGTGGTATTTGGGTTTTCAGAAGGGCTTTATAAGGGTTTAGGGTTTAGGGTTTAGGGTTTAGGGTTTAGGGTTTAGGGTTTAGGGCTCAGGGTGGTTTAGGGTTCAGGGGACATGTGCAAAAACAGGCTTCAGTTAGCAGCAAAGCCCTTGACCTCCAGACTTCTTCGTCAGGTCGCTCTCCAGGAAGCGGACTTCTGAGTCGGCGGCAGGCACCGGAGCTTTCACAGGGGGGTTTAGGGTTTAGGGTTTAGGGTTTAGGGTTTAGGGTTTAGGGTTCAGGGTTCCCTAAACCCGTAAACTCCCCGAAGCCCCCTAAACCCCAGCCCAAAACCCCTACTTCCCGAAACTCTCCCCAAACTCCCCGAAAAAAAACCCTCTAAACCCCAACCCAAGTCCCTAAATCCCGACTTCCCTGATCCCTAAGCATGGGCCCACGTCCTTCAGACTCCTCCAGGGTCCGTAAACTTGACAACTTCGAACAGCCACCTCGAAACCCTTGAGAACGGCATAGGACATAGGGTTCGGGGTTTAGGGTTTAGGGTTTAGGGTTTAGGGTTTAGGGATTAGGGTTCAGGGTTCAGGGTTTAGGGTTCAGGGTTCCTTCAAAGAAAGCCCGAAGCGCCCCCCCCCAAAGCCCTGCGAAGGCCAAAACGCCCCTCTGGGCGGCGAAGAAAGCAGCGCTGTGGCGCGGAAAAGGGCTGCGGCTTCGCGCGCACGAAGCTCCGTGAGCGTCTGGGGCTGTAGGCTTTCTGACCCCGAGCCCGCCGCAAACCCTAAACCCTAAACCCTAAACCCTAAACCCTAAACCCTAAACCCTAAACCCTAAACCCTAAACCCTAAACCCTAGAACCTAAACCCTAAACCCTTGAACCCTAAACCCTACCCCCTAGAGGCCTGTTTGAATCCCGATTGCCATAGCCTCCTGCAGCGGACGGCTCAAGATCAGTGGTACGCCGGGGCTCCGCGGGCGCTCAGAAGTCGTCGAGTTACCCGCTGCAGCTTACGGCTTCAGACTTGTGTTTTGGGGGGATTAGGGTTTAGCGTTTAGGGGTTTGGGGTTTAGGAGTTTAGGGGTTTAGGGGTTTCCCAAACCCTAAACCCCAAACCCTAGACCCTAAACCCTCAACCCCCCAAAACGCTTGAGGTCCCTTAAGGCCGTAAGGCCCCCAAGCCAAAGCTGTCCAAACATGGGGGTCCATAGCGTGTGGGGTCTAGGCTCGCGGGCTTAGCGGCTTTGAGGATTGAATCTACATGGGATTTTTCAAGTTTAGGTTTAGGGGTTTGGGGCTGAGCGTCTGTAGTATGGTTTAGGGGTTTAGGGTTTGTTGTTTCGGGTTATTGCGAGGTTCCAACTTAGGCCGGTGCGCCCCAACCCCAATTGCCAGGCCCAGGGCAAGGGAACTTGGAGTATGACCCTCACCCCTTAGCCCTGACACGTAGAACTTTCCTGGGCCTTTAGGGTTAGGGTTGGGGCTTGGGGTAGTGTACTTGGAGGTAATTACAACTGTACCTATACCCCACTTTTAAAGCCCCTTAAGTGCCTTAATAGGGTTTATAAGTACAGTTAAAGTACAGCTATGCTTGGTTAATTTGTACCATGAACCTCCAAGTAGGGCTTGGGATCCTATAAACCCTAAACCCTAAACCTCAAACCCTAAGCTCCTTAAACTCCCTAAACTCCCCAAACTCCCCAAACTCCCCAAACCCTAAACTTATCAACCCCTCACCCTAAGCCCTAAGCCCGTGAGGTTGAAGGGAAGATGGTCGTGCCAGAGAATATCCATCCTATTCACCATGCCGTGGATCCTCACTTCACGCTGCTGGCTTGCAGGGTTTAGGGCTTAGGGTTTAGGGTTTAGGGTTTAGGGTTTAAGGTTTAGGGTTTAGGGTTTAGGGTTTAGGGCTGATGATTGGGGGCGGGGGGGGGGGTAGAGTTAAGGGTTTAGGGTTCGGGCTTGGAGTTTTAGGGTGTTAGGGCAGACTTTAGGGCTTATTCTGGGCCTTTTGGGGCTTCTTGCGCTTGTAGGGTGCAGAAGGCTCGGGGAGTTTTGGAGGGCTTATGAGGGTTATAGGGCCTACAGCTAAGGGAACCTCCTAGGGGGTACATCCTTGAAGGTCCGAGTATGACTTCCCCAGACTCTAAACCCTAGCCCTAAACCCTAAACCCTAAACCCTAAACCCCAAACCCCAAACCGCGCAAGTGCATCCCACACCCCCGAAACCAAGGCATATGCTGGATGTTCTCGAGTCGGACACGCAGCTTGGCCTCTTCTTCTTTTTTTTTTTTTGGGGGGGGGGGGGGGGGGGGGCGGTTTAGGGTTTAGGGTTTAGGGGGGGTTGTTGGGTCAGGTTCGAACGCATCACCCGAGGTTCATGGTTTAGGGTTTAGGGGTGAGGGATGTGCCTCCTTATACTGACAGTCCTTAGTACATCCCCAAGGTTTAGGGTTTGAAGGGTGAAGGGTTTAGGGTTTAGGGTTTAGGGCTAGGGTTCAGGCCTAGACCCCTCAACCTGAAACCCCCAAAGCCAGAGCTGAGACAGGGGGCATCTGTGAGCTGAAGAGAAAGCAAAAGTCACCCCGAAACCCTAAACCCTAAACCACACCCTACACCTAAACCCTACTAAACCCTAAACCCTAAACCCTAAACCCTATAAACGCCCTTCCTCTCAACTCACCAAAGATTCGTTCCCCGGAGACTGAGGGCGAAGCCTTTCATCATCCCCATCATCGGCCTCATCATAGGCCAGTCGCAACGCTCGGGTTCGTGGTCTGGGTTTAGGGTTTAGGGTTTAGGGTTAGGGTTTAAGGTTTAGGGTTTAGGGTTTAGGGTTTAGGGTTTAGGGTTTAGGGTTTAGGGTTTAGGGTTTAGGGTTCAGGGTTCAGGGTTTAGGGTTTAGGGTTTAGGGTTTAGGGTTTAGGATCATGGTACTTATTCACCAATAATATTTGTACTTATAGCCCGCTTGTGCCCCTTAAGTGCCCTAGTATGGTTACAAGTACAGCCATCAGTATAGTTAGAAGTGGTTAACAAGTACCATGTACCTCGAAGTATGGGCTTTGGGCTTGGGGTTCAGAAGCTTATAGGGTTTAGGGTTTAGGGTTTAGGGTTTAGGGTTAGTGTTCAGCTGGGTTTAGGGTTCAAGGGTGGGGGGTTGTAAGGGTGCAGGGACTCAAAGGTTCATGGTCTTGGGGTTTTAGGCCTCACATCAGGCTTAATGGAGGGTTCATGACCCTACATCAAAAAACTCAAAACAACTAAACCCTAAATCCCGAAACACTAAGCCCTAATCCCGAAACCTGCAGCAAGACAGCTTGGAGTTCAAAAGCGGTTGGCGGCGGTGGTGGCACGGCTTAGATGCCGGAGGAAACCCGATGCCAGCGAAACAGACCCTAAACCCTAGACCCCTAAACCCTAGACCCTAAACCCTATAGCCCTAAACCCTAAACCCCAAACCCTATAGCCCTAAACCCTAAACGCTATAGCCCTAAACCCTAAACAGGAATCGCGATGATGAATATGCCGAAGTGCATGGAAGCCCCTGGGCTTTATCATGGGCGATCTTTGTGGGCCCCGAGCTCCCTCAACCGGGTTTAGGGTTTAGGGTTTACGGTTTAGGGGTTTAGGGTTTAGGATTTAGAGTTTAGGGCTAGGGTTAGGGTTTCGGGTTTAGGTTTTTGAGGGTTTAGGGCTTTAGGGGTTTGGGGGTCTAGGGGTTTAGGGATTTAGGGGTTTAGGGGTGTAGGGGTTTAGGGGTTTAGGGATTTTGGGGGTTTAGGGGTTTAGGGGTCTAGGGGTGTAGGGGTTTAGGGGTTTAGGGGTTTAGGGGTTCAGTGGTTTAGGGGTTTAGGGTGCCGCAACAAGCTGAACCCTAAATCCTCCGCCAGCTTCTTCTGTCCTTGTCACCCTCAACACCCCGCTGAGCTCGTACCAAGCCCCAAACGCGTCCCACCCTTATCATCCCTCCATTTTCCCGAGGTCCGTGTCGAAGAGGTTGAGAGTACAGACCACGGGTTCAGGGCGCACGGGGTTAGGGCTCAGGGCTTAGGATTTGGGGACTCGGTTTTTTTGGGCACCTCGGGTTTAGGGTGGTCACCTTCGATGCGTTTTCCGGTGGAATGCAAGACCATGATCTTGAAGCTTGCACTTCGTCACCTAGGAAGCCATCGATATCTCTTAGCTAGCTCACTAGGAAGCTAAGGGTAGTTCTATGTACCCTCCGTATGGTCCCTAACCGCCTTGAAAGAGTTCTGAAGTATGGGCCCTTGGGTTGTAGAGGGTATATAAGAGGTATATGAGGGGTCCCCTTTTTAAGGGCCCACACTAAGGGAGCACGTAAGTTCCCTCTCTAAAAAACCCAGTACCCTCCATGACGCATCGCCCCGTGGTGGTGCTTTTGAGTAACCTGCCGGCCATGTGGCTTTGGCTCTCTCACCCGCAACTCTTCGGCCCTTCAGCCCTAAAGCCCGCAACCCTTAAACCCTTAAACCCTTAAACCCTGAAACTCTTAAACCCTCAAACCCTTAAACCCTTAAACTCTTAAACCCTTAAACCCTTGAACCCTTGAACCCTTAAACCCTAAATACCAGAACCCTACATAAACCCTAAACCTCAACCCCGAAACCTTAAAAGCCTAAACCCTAAACCCCAAGTATCCAAAGGCCATAAGACTCGCAGATTGTCGAAGGCCCCATGAGACTCGAAAACTGTCGATGGCCCTAAACCTTCAGGCTCTAACAACCTCAGACGCGGAAACCCTCGAACGCTTAAATCCTACTCGTACCACCCGAAGACCCCTAAACCCTTCCCGCCCTAAACCCTAACCCTAAACCCTAAACCCTAAACGCTAAACCATCTCAGATGGCCCATGCTGGGACGGTCGCCACCGTTGGGAAGCTGGTGTTGTACTTCGGGGCGCAGCTGGGGGGCCCAGGTTCAGGATCTTAGGGTTTTTGGGTTTTCGGGTTTAGGGTTTAGGGGTTTTTAGGATTTTAGGATTTTGGGGTTTTAGGGATTCAGGGTTTAGGGTTTAGGGGGTTTTTAGGGTTTTTGTATGTTGGGGTTTCACGGGTTTTAGGATTTTAGGGTTTCAGTGTTTTGGGTTGGGATGTTCCTCCTTATACTAGCAGCCCTTAAGTGGGATTCTGATAGGGGGTACTAGAGTCCCTATGAACGCCGAAAGCCGAAAACCCTCAACCC